TTCAAGTATTCCTGATCCTGTTGATTGGGAGCTGTTGTTTGTTTTGAATGATTAAAAGAGAAAAAATAAAGTTTAAAATGTTCATGCTTTGTTCCGATGCATTTTAAATGGCATTTTTTGGCGACAAATGTAGGCCTACAATATTATGTTAAAAACGTCAGCCACAGCCCTCAACATAATGACGTCATGTGTTTTCCAACCCAACCATCAGCCCCCCTCGCTTGAAACAGCTTCCAGCGCGCCTGGACTGGACTTTTCCTTCAAAGAAGTTGAGTTATTTGGGGGGTTTTCATAATAAATATTTATGGTTTCATCTTGAAGCAACACTGTAACCTTAGCCACCAGGGGGTGCTGTACTGCAGCTAAACTAAACTGTTTCCCTGCATGTTTTGGAATCTGACAACAAAGTTTCTGATAAATGTATTCATCCTAAATTAAATCTATATAAACAGAAACATATGTGATCAGCTAAAGGCCGGCTTGGTTGCCTAGCAACAGCTGTTAGCTTAGTTAGCTGTGGTGTTTTAGTGGAGCTCCTTCAGGCTAGCTGAGTATTAACCTGAAAAATAATTGAATATATGTGAAATTAAACTAATATTTCATGAACATTAACTGAAATTATTTAACCCAAACATTTGGATGCATCCTGCCTCCTTTTAAAAGACCAGCTGATGGTAAAAAAAATGAGATAAAATGAGCTGAAAGCACCTTTAAGGATTGGTTTTCCTGTTGGAGCTCTGTTCAAAGCTCCGTCCTGACAGATCTGAAGCGACAGGACGGAGGCCATCTGCTGCTGCTTTGTACATATTCAAGTGATTTAGGATCTGCAACGCCTCCTGCTGCCTTGACCAGGTTGGCTGATCAGCTTGCAGGCAGCTCACCACCCTGTGAGTCCCTGAAATATCACCACCGGACCATCCTGCCCCGCTGTGAACCTGCCTCTGAATAAAGTGACCTACAGCGTTGCCTGTTTAGAGCAGAATAAAAGAAAGTGAGAAACGCGTCATTTTGACTCCTTTCTCTCTCAGATTGGATATAAATCAGAAACAGGACAGTTTGGTAAGGGGGGGGGGGTTATACATGATGATCTTTTTCAACATCCCTCCTTTTCAGCAGAAAGGATCAAGTGGAGGTTGAGAGGCGAAGGAGGGGAAGTCTTTACTGGCCAAAGGACCTAATAAACAAATAAAACGGTCGGCCATATTTCCTTTTTCCTGTAGGATTGGATCCAAACGGATCCACAGGGTCACGGCGAGGTCACCGCCTACTTGCTGGTGCTTGTTTTAAAGAGCGTGAAGTAATTGGAGTTTGTGATTGGCCGGTTCATATTGAGATGTGTTATGAGGGTTCTGGGGGGCGACCCGAGGTCCCCTCAGAAGTTGAGGTGCCTCTGGGTGGGCTGGTGCAGGTGGAGGTGGAGCGTGCTGCCCTTGGCGGCGCGCAGCAGGTTGAGGCGTCGCAGGGCCTTACGTGACAGCACCTGGGTGCGTTGGGCGACGTTCCCCGGCCGCTGCTGCAGAACTCCGGCGTGGGCGGAGAGCGCCGCGGCGTAGCAGGTGGAGTGCAGGCTGGAGCGGCGCTGAACGGCCGCAGCCTCGGGTCTGCAGGGGCGGAAATGAAACAAAGAGTAGATGAGATGGAGAAATAAAAGGATGAAGGAATCATTCCTGAAAGTTTTTACTTTCAGGCTTTCCTAAAATGTTTCCAACTTTAAAGACATTTCACTTCCTATCCAGGAAGCCTTTTCAATTCAAACCTTTCCTTTCAGTAAGAAGTTGGATTAAATCCATTTAGAAAAAGTGACTTAGTTATTTACTTATTCTTAATCTAAATGTACATCATTACTGATTGTTCTGAAAAGGAGAATGAGATTATGATTTAATGAGATTTGGAGCCGGAAGAGGTCACAGCAGGTAGAGACTGAAGTTTTAAGCCCTCCTGATGCAGGTGCCAGTGGAGCGAAAGGTTACCTGTGACGAGGACCGTCCAGTATGGGCCTTGTCTTCTCTTTTCCACCCGCAGCTGTTTGGTTTGCAGACGCACTGCTGGACAGGAAGTCCATGTCTGGGTCGAGCCGCTGGGGGCTGCGGTGGGCGTAGACGGACATGCTGGGGTGTTCGATCAGCAGGTTCTCCAGAGGGCTGGTCTCCAGGAGGACCGGCTGGCCGCTGTGGCCGGTGAAGCAGGGCGGGGGGGTGACGAACCAGCTCTCCTCCAGGGAGCGGGCGTCCACGCGCAGGAAACCACCCTCCTCCTCCTCGTCTTCCTCATCCTCTGCGCCGCCGTCCAGGTCGGTGTCGGCCGTGGAGTTGAGGGAGGTGCAGGACGGGTAGCGGATAGCGGGGCTGGCCATCGGAGAGGGGATCATCACCAGGTCCTCCTCTTCCTCCTCTTCATCTTCATGAGGGCCGACAGTGGAGCCGGAGAGGCTGTCGCCACAACGGCCAGAGCACGCTTCGGCTGCAGAGGAGAGAAGTTATTAATTCACTCAAAGGTTCAGTAAAATCTGAGGAAAAGATTCAGGAAGTTTTATGTTTTTGTTGTTTTTTTACAGATTATTTAAATCAATGACATCACAAACGTTAAAACATAAAAAACTAATTTTCCCCCCATTGTTCCTATGGAAGGAGACTTTACATAATTTAACAGTGAAGCTACACTAGTCTTTCAGCAGGTGGCGCTGTGTGCCGTCCATGCAGCTAATGAAACTCCTCCACATGTAAACAAAGGGCCTGCAGAGCAACAGCTCCTCCCTGACATGAAACCACAACCTGAAAACATTTCTGCTTCGAAAACAGACGCAGTAAAGAGCAAAGTCACCATTAGGCAAAACTAGGAGCTTGAAGGCCCCAAAAAACCCCTTAGATGTATGGTTAATACAGTTAATAATTGTTTGCACACATTAGTTATGTTTTTTTTTTAAATCATCTCAATAAAAATCCTATTAGAAAGGACATATCAGTCCATTTTTCTGCACATTTGGAGAAAATGATCCAGAGAGAAAGCAACAAAACATGAAAACAAACGGGACAAAGAGGCAAAAAAGAAAAAATCCACTGCAGGATGAAGAAAAGAGAAGGAAAACTATAAAAGTGACTTTCTTTACTGCAGCAGCAGCTGAAGATGAAAAGTTAGCATGAAAACTGTTGAAGGGAAGATTTTTTCCCCTATTTTTATAAAAAGGAATATTTTATTACTGAAGACAGGAAAGAGTACGGGTCATTTTGAAATAAGTTTAAGATTCTGTCTATTTTTGCTACAAATAATAAACAAATTAATCATTTAGGCATTTTTATGTTGTTTTTTTAATTAAATTTCCTGAAAAACTTCTGGTTTTGGGGGGTTCTGAATTAGTGAATATGTATTCCGTCGTCGTAAGATTTGCAGAGCTCAGGATCGGTGTTGGGGGTAACGAGTTATAAAAGCAAAGCTTAGCAGTTAAAAATTAGCTTCAGTCAGTAATACAGTTATATAATGCATTACAAACTACATTTTGGCAACATTATGTTTAAAAAAAGAACCTAAAGTTTAAATAAAGAGAGGAAAATTGTTTTATTTGAGGATAAGAAAACATTTAAAGAAGAAGGCCAGAATACGGCTACAAGAATGTAGCTTGTAATATGAAATAGATTACATTTTGGAACTTGCTCCAAACTGGAAATGACTTACAAATAAGATTTTATGGCCAAAATGGAGAAAATGCCAAAATTGCATGTGCATTCTGTTAAAATATGTCGTTTTGTCTTCTCATTTCAGGGGGCTACATGCCACCACAGCTCAGTGTCTTAAAGCGGCTCCATCCTACCAGATCCCTGTTTCCTCAGTAAGCTGCATCCAATAAGGACGCTCTGAGCGTTCTTATGCTCTTAAATCAGCCGCTAATGCACCGACATCCTGCGCGGCGAGACGTTTAGCTCCCAGATGTGCAGAAGTGGAAGCCTGCCAAGAGCTGCAGAACAGACTTGTTTTTCTTCTAATGATTGACTGAAGAATCAGGAAGTTGTGAGGTGGAAACATGATCTAATGCAAGCAAGCTGGATGTTAAAAATAACTGTCGCCGCAGCAGATGGTTCGGTTTGAGTCCGAGGCTTTTTTCACCTCAGCGCTTAAATACTGTAAATACGTGATATTTGACCTCGGAGTATATAACCAGACAAGGCGTTACATCTCCATTGTTTCGAAGCGTGCAGGCGAACGTTTGGAGCTTATTTCCACACATGATGTTAACCCCACCCCTCAGGGTTCATGGGGGCATTCTTGTTTACAAGCAGCAGAACAGAGAAGCTGCAGAGCGTTTGACTCTGTGTCAAACATCTGATGCACAGACAACCTTCGTCTGCATTCCTGCAGATGCCTCCAGGAAAAGGTGCAGATCTGCTTTAAGACTGAAAGGACCATCACCAGCAAGGCCAGCGGTCATGCATGGTTTTGTTCGGATCTATGCTGGGTTAATGAGGTCAGCCTGGCTAACCAATGAACTCTCCGACCTGCCAATAACTCCCTCTTCTCTGCAAACAAAGACATGCTCAGAGTCTGCAGGCGACGGTTTGGGCAAAGAGCTAACTATACTCGAACTGTATTCACATGTCCATGTTTTTACTGGACTTCCACACTGTTGACATAAATGGAAACAAAAGTTTCACGTGCAACTTTAACCTCTCAGGCCTGCATTTCCTCAATGCCTTCAAATCGTGTCGTATTTAACAAGATAAAAGGCTTATCTAACAGCTCTTCTTCCTGTATCTGTATCTAGCTCTATGCATCTCTCCATCCTGCCCCCCACAGCATGATGCTGCCACTACCATGTGTATTCAGGGTGAATGTCAATGTCTGTAAATACCGGATTCTCATATGTGGAAACGCATCATGAAAAGTGGTATAAAATTTCCACTTCAAGCAGCAACTCACAAACCCCACATGTCATTGAAGATTAAACTACCAGGATCTATTTTTATCTCCTTTTTGTTTGGCCCGTTTACAGCCTCACTTCTCCATTAACTGCCTGATGCTAAATACCCCCCCGCCTCAAATATTCACACGGCTGCAGAATTGGAGACCCGTCAGGTCGAGTCGAGGCGGTGAACTAAGGTAAAGCTGCCCACTCAGACGCACTGCTGCATGTTGCCTGTCCGGGATTCCCAGTCTGTTTGGACTGGGATCAGTTTTCGGCTCTGGAAACTTGGCCGGACTTCGACATGCTAAAAGCTAAAGTTAAACGCATCTCCAGTCTGCTTCTCCGTGTCAGAACGTTTGCTGTCTGAACAAACGTTCAGAAATCATAACCAGAAGTAAATATTTATCAATTTACTTCCTATTTATATCAACAGGTTAAAACATTTACATATATTGGAACCTGCAAAAAGTAATGTTAGGTAGAAATGATACTTCTTGATGGAGAAGTTGTAGTTGTGTCAATGGATGTCCAGGCAGGGACAAATGTGCACTGAGAGATGGCTGAAAACAGGCGGCAAAAAACTCCAGGATCAATCTACACTAATCACATCATAACAAGAAAATAAGCGAGCACAACATAAAGATGGGTCATGCACTAGGGATGCACGATATTGGGATTTTGGCCGACATCCGATATTTTAAAACTCATGTAGCCGATAACCGATATCGATACCGATGTTAAAGCTGGACAAAAATAAGCAGTCATTGAAAATAGCAGTTTTGTTATCCATTTCTGACACTTTGAAAAATAATATACTCAAATATATTTTCATATGCTGATATCAAATTGATTTTTAAAAACGCGGTATCGATCTATTTTACTTTCAAAATCTCGTTCTGTTACAAAATCTCGTTCTGTTACAAACTCTCGTGATATTTTGCAAATTCTTGTGAGATTTTGTTAGTAAAATAGATCGATACCGCGTCAATATATGAACATATAAAAATATGGCAAAATTTCGCGAATTTTCGGGGGATTTCGTAGCATAACGATGACATATAGCAATATTTCATTAGTAAAAGAGATTGATATGGTGTTTTTAAATGGCAATATATCAGCATATAAAGATATTGTGATATTTTAATGTATCAATATTTTTTCCCTCGTCTTTAGAAGTTTTTAAGTCTGTAAAAAAGAAGTTTTTGAGGAAGAAGTAGTAGTATTTTTTTTTTTTTTTTTTTTTAGACTTTAGAAACTCAGAAGCTGATCAAATATCGGGTTAAATATCGGTGGGGTGGCCGATGTCCGATATTCAGTTTTAAGGCCGATACCGATAGGGGGCCGATTATATCGTGCATCCCTATCATGCACAGCACTGATATAGAATCCATTTCCAAATGTTAAATCACTGGTTTTCCATGGTATTAGGTGAATAAATGCTGTATTAGAGTGTAAATGGGAGACTTTTATTGTGAAATTTGCTCTGGGGTGTGTTTTGAAAAAGTCGCTAGAGTCTAATAGAAACAACCTGGTAGAGTTTGGGTCATAATGTTGAGCCATTTGCATCAATTAATGCATGAGTATAACCTAAAGGCTTTTATATTGTAGGGTCCCTGGAGTCTTATTTTGAAAGTCCAACAGGGTTGTGTTTTGAGAAAACGTTCAGACCCAGCAATGATAGTTGATAACAAATGAGTGCTGAAGGCAAGCCATAAAAGGTATCTAAAAAATTATTTCAGTCTAAGCGACAGCGATCCCTTGTCTCCGACTGGGTTAACTTTCATGGCTCTAACTAAATCACAACCTTAATGGGAAGGAGAAATAAAAAGGTTTGTCACACCTGATCCTCTCATTAGATTACATGGAGCTGCAGGTTAAAGCTGGGCTGTCACAACATAAATCATAAAAGAAAGACTAGAATTTAATGAGGGTCTTGATAATAAATTTTCCAACTAGAAAAATCCCACAAAAACCACTGACGGCCAAAATACAAAACGTGCATCTGATCTTTCCTTAATTTATTTCCTTTAAACATGTTTAGTATTAATAAAATTAATGCTTCAGGCTGTAAAAAATCTACAAGGATTCAGAAAATCTACTTTTTTAGCTAAAACGGTTCATGAAAAGCTTAGAATTAATTAGAGATGCACCGATTCTAAAAACCTGGATCGGAATTAGCAGATATCGGTAATTTGATATCTGATATCTGTTCACTTTACATGGAACTGTCTCTTCTTTCTTGTAGCCTGAAGTGACACAAAGCCAATGTTTTTGCCCATGTTTGACCTTTTATCTGATGTTTACATGGCAATCTGAACAAAACAGATATGATTTTTTCCCAATGCGACCTGTTTCTGAACAGCCAGTTCGCATCCATCCGACCTGTCATTAATAATCGACAAAGGTATCTATTCTGCGTCTTGCTACGCAACAGAGGGAAGAAAAACCACAACCATGGCGGATGATTATGTGGAGAAAAATCTTTTTTCACTACCATCCATGTTTACTGCCATAAACACAGAGCACGCTCTTTTGTGAGGTCATTGCGTCCTCAACTGTGCATGTGGGACACTTAGGTTGTATGAATGTAGTTAAAACAGGAGATAAAATACAAGTTCCATATACAGTGAACCCTCGTTTATCGCGGGGGTTACGTTCCTTAGGCCCCGTCCACACAAAGTCAAACCCTGGCCTAAACGCACAAATTTTTC